TTCTTGAAATTCTTAAATTATCTTTATTCTTTGCTTCAGTCGATAATAAGGTGACCAATTTTTCACCCTTTGTCCCAAATTTTTTCGAGTGCTATTCAAGACACAGATTTGTCATCATTTTAAGTGATTGTCAAATAATTTTCGGATCTTTTTATCCCCCTTCCCCCGCTTCATACATTTATGAAGTATCTCGAATTCAAGATTATCATAGAGAATCTAATCACCGTATCAGTAATGCATTAATTATGTAACTTATTCGGTATATGCTAGATTGAATTTGTAGTTCAAGAAGCATCATCAGATGTATACACAAATAAACACTTGTAAGATATAATATTATTTAGATTCTAAGACCAATATTTATAAGTGTAAATTATTTGCAATCTTTAATAAGAGAGGAAGAAAATATAATTAAATACAGATTCGTATTCATACACTGTTAGATCAATATTTCTGATTATATAAAATCAATGCAAATAGAAATTGAGAAATAATTACGGATTCACAAAGCTATGATTGTTTATTAAATAATAATAGATTGCGAATATCTTTAAATTCGTCTAAATCGTCTAAATTTCGAGCCTCGGGTATCTCTTATTCTTATTCATTAAAATTAAACACTTCCTCTAACCTAACTTTTCTAACCTAACCTTTTCTGTAATAAACGTTTTAACATACTTGGAAATATGCTCGCGTCTCGGTGTCCTCCGTCCGACTTCCTGATCCAGCATCCTGGCTTCCGGTTACTCCGTCGTGGCATTCTGGACACTCACTCGTGGCACTGACACTCGCGAAGACACGATCCAAGACACACGAGTTAAATGACGCGATGCCGATGTTTTAACGCGTGATACATTCTCGATGGAATATATCAAAAACCGGCGAAATGTTTTAATCATCCGACGAGGATGACAACTAATGTACCGACATACGTACAACGCGATGCGCGTGGCATTTGCCGGCTCGGGACGCAAAGGAACATTCGCGAAAAAGTTTACGGCGCGCGACGCGGAATAAATATTCGGGAGAGTTAGCGGAGCGCGTAGTGGACACTTTCTCTCGCGTGATAAGACTCGCGGCGCGCGAAGGTATGCCGCGCAGCATGTTTATTGTCATTACGCGGCGAGCGGCGGAGTGGGGGTTAACGCTTTGCGCTCGAGTTTACATTTCGTGGCGATAAGCGACGAGCATAACGCGACGCGGAGCACGTGTATTAGCACGCTCTAGTCATACATTCCGCCGGAAACATTTAATCGGGCTCTCGTCAATATTCGCGTTAATTAGCACGTGTTTCTGCAATCGAACCATCGCGTTTCTATTGGAGTATCAGTGCCACGATGAGCTTGTGGAGCAGCAGAATAGTGGACCGGAAAATCAGCACAAAAGGGGAGGCAACGGTACCGATTCATCGTATAATCGCCCAGGTAAGTTAAAAACAATATCTATGAAATAACAAATATTTAATCCATGATTACTGAGACCATATATTCACTTGAATCTCAATTTCCTTATTTAAATAGAACTAACAATCGCTTTTATATCACATAAAACTTTCGCTATTTTTCATATAATAATAGACCGTATACACTGACCTAAATTTCAATTTTGTTATTTCTCTATTCTTATTCGTCGAATATATTTTAGAATCGTAAATCTCCTGTACAAGTCTCCATTATAGAAGGGATTTTTTATGAAAATTAGATTCCGAGAGATATCTGACGAATGAAAATAAGGAGATAATAAAATCGAAATGTAGATCAGTGTGCATAGTCTGTTATTATATGAAAAATAATGAAAAAACTTCACATATATAAACCTGCGAGTGTTTGTCAACCTGTATATTTATCTGATACTAATATACATATCTTACACTGAGGAAAATCTTTTTGAACTAAAAATACACATTTTTATAAAATCATAATTTTTTTATGAAACAATTGTTCATTATATTTAAGTAAGGAAATTTAGATTTAAGCAAATACATAGCAACCTGGAATAAATATTTCTTATATGTGTATGTGTGTATTAATATATTAATACAAATAAGCAGCACATTGCTGATAGAAACTGAAAATAAAGATTAAATGTAGGATATTGAGATAATTGATGTCAAACAATTCTGAAATAAGTTTTTCGTTAAAATTCAATAAAAAGAAAAAAACAGTAAGTAACCATTTGTATCAAGATAAAACAATAACTTATAGAATGTTATATCTCGAAATTGTTTATTAGTTTTTCAAATTTACTGGGATTTGTAAAGTTGTCGAACTAAAATTCCGACTTCGATATATACTCAAATACTTTTTTTTTGTTTCTAAAAAATGATTGAATGTCTCGATGTCCAACAGTTTTAATTCGACTTAATACGATCGTTGTTGAAATGTCTCTCCTTTATTCCGAAATTCGAACGGTCGATAAAGCTCCATGTGTGTAATTTCAACGACAAGTCGCGATGCCCTCGCGAAAACGACGCAAGTGTAACGCGATGCGGCGCAACGTGACCTCTCCCGAAGTAAAAAAAAAAACAGAAAACGACCTCACCACTTCAATTTCACGCTACACACGCAAAAGAGTAATTTTTTAACACGCTTCGCCGCGCCGGAAATTCCCTGTGAAAAACTTGGCCGCAAATGTGCCGCGATATATACGCGGATCCCCTCTTTGTTATGGCCGTCCAACGCATCGCCTGAACTTCGCCCTTTCCTCCCGCCGTTTGTTACGCGCCGCGTCGCGAAAGAGGCTAACGTTAGTCGCCTAAAAAAGAAAGTTCTTATCTTCGCCGTTCTTTCGTTCTTGCTACGCGGTTGCGAGCGAGAGAAGCGAAGGGAGAAGAAGGGAAGACGCTCTCTCGCCTACCAAATTAAATTAGCCACTCCCATCCCGTAGATCTCGACCGTTGACTGCTTGACCCTCGCGAACCCTTTCTCCGATCTCTGCGAGGTAATTCAATTGCGCAGCGAGTCGCTTATGTGACTATCTTGTCTGTTACGTTGGCGGAAGCGGTGGTTATTCGCTTCCTCGCGCTTGCACCTAACGTGAGGTCGAAGAACGTAGTAGATGAGCGAGGCCGATAAGAGATAATTAGTAGCGATGCGAATGGCGCCGATATCGCGCAGAGTGGCGAGAAGAATTTCTGTTTAACCGCGATATCATCTCCACGATATCGGCCTGACATTGTTTCCTAATTTGCGAAGGCAAATATAGGTCACGTATCTCGCCGCGAATCTTCCGTTCACGATTTAAATGTCATTTAGTTACGTAATTTGGCCCAACGTAATTTAAATTTTGCCGATACTGTATAATTTCAATGTACGATATCGTAAGACGGCAATAATCGATAGCGGTAATTGACAAATGTTGATGTTTCGCATGTGACTATATTTCGCAAGCACATTTAAATCAATGTAGTTCTTATTGTTATCATGTTACTTTCTTTCTAAATTGCACTTTATAGCTATTAAAAACATACTACTGATACTTTGCGTTGCACATCCAAATCAGGCTTGTCTCATTGATTTTTAACACGATTAGAATACCATTTAGTAACATATTTTAATTCATTTAAATTTTTCCGATATTGTGTAATTTCGATATAAACACTAAGGAAGAATATTTGAAAATTTATTTGTGGGATTTAGACTTTATTTCACAATGAAATAAAGTTTATTTTTCTGATATAAAATTTATTTCCGTAAAAAATTTTTTATCTTACACAAATAAATTTTCAAATATTTTTTTCACAGTGCATTCAGTGAGGAGAAAATATTTGAAATTTTTTTTACGGGATATAAAATTTATTTTATAAATAAACTATGAATAAACTTTATATCCCACAATTAAATTTTCAAATTATTTTTTTCAATATACACGAAAATTATATATTATCGGCGCGCGTCGGTGCCGTTCTTTCATTGTCCATTTAGAAGTTGAGTGATCAGTTGAAGCACGGCAAACACGTTCACACGAACAACACGCAATCTATTCGTGATTTAATTGTTAAAATTCCTTTTTTTGTTTCATCTATTAAAACAGTAACGAGGTTAATATTGTTGCGGATCATTGTAAATTAAAATAAAACCACTTTCGTCTCTCTCTCTCTCTCTCTCTTTCTCTTTCATTCTCTCTCTTTTTATTTCTCTCATTAAGACGTAAAACAGAACATAAAAAATTTGCGAGAGGAGGCCCCCACGCGACGATTATCCCGCGGAAGTAAACGCGAGAATCATGAAGGCACACGAAAATGATCGACGGCGATGCCGACCATAGAGAAGCAATTTTTCGACAGTTTGCATAATGCGCAAAACGGACGGCGGTAATGTAAATGTTAAATAATTGTCAGTCAAAGTCAGATTATACTTTACCGGCACGTTTCGCAAAATGCCTTCGTCGCACGTAATTGCATCTGTCCGCAACGGGGCTGAACACAACGGCGGGTCATTAGCATTTATGAAAAATGGATAAAACGATATTAATAAAGTACGATCGATGCGAGGCAAACTATACTAATGGACACGACGGTTGTACTGCCATCGGGCGCAGAAGCGGCGGTGTGTTATTTCGCTCGGTCAAGGATGTCTCGGTATCGAAGAATTAGAGAACCGATGGTATTTATAGGAAAAATAGGTGATGCAGTTTCTAGAGCAAATTAAGGTGGCTCGATACAGCGTTCGCTTTGTTCCGCCGAATTCTTTCGAGCAATCGATAGCGATGACACGGCGTATTTGTCTATCGACGAAAGTTCCGATTTACCACCAGCATTCACTATTACTTGCGCGCGCTAACAGCGAACACGCGTTAATGCTGAGAGCGGAACACTGTTTAAAGGGCGCGATACAGTGTCAAAGGAAGAGAGTCGCAGCGTAGTTCGCTTGCGATGAGCGCAAGCGTGCTCGCATAATTTCCCTTTAATCCCTTAAACACGATAGCGGATGAATGCTAAACACACTCAATTAAAGCCGTCGCTTCGCGAAAACTTCGGAAATTGGTTGAAAGTAACTCACCCTCGATGGCAGGCGCGCTCGGCGTGTCTCCGGAATTATAGAGGTCATCTGAAACAGAAGTTAGAAGTTTATCAACTGCGGTACTTACCCGGGGTAGACGGATACTGGGCATGAATTAATTAACGAGTACTTGCGAAACACTTCATTAGATTAAACTTAGACAGCGCTCTCGGGCGCGTCCATTATTTCGCGCATCGGAGATGCCCGAGCGGGAGTCGTTCGATCGAGAACTACTAATAAGTGAAGTAATTTTAGTCTGCAATTACGTCGTCGGCAATGGGCGGCGCCGTAAATACAATTTGACCCGCGATTAAAATACCAAATCGCGCGATATCCGACCGAATAATTGGCGTCGATCAAAGAACGAATTCACGACAGATTACTACACGTCGACGAGAATTTAACGATGAATGTGACGTGTTGTAGAAAGTGTAGAAAGTAAGAAAGTACACTGAGAAGAAAGTGTTTGACATCTATAATCTGTAGTGACATAGAGAAATAATTACAATAAATTATGGTCGAGAAAACCATTTTTTTTTTTTATTAAATTCTGTCATGTTAGTGATGATAATCTTATATAGATGTCACTACTATCTTTTTAACTAAGAAAATATGCTTGGAGTAAAAAATAACTATAATTTTAATTGGATCGATCATTTCTTTTCTCTCTCAGCGTAACGCAGGACAAAAAATTCTCAATTTTAATTCCATTACAAATAAACAGTTATAAATTTAGTCTTGGCATCTCAATTTTCAAATTATTACACTACTTTTGAGTTATGTTTTGTAGAAAATAATCCTTGAGGTTTATTTGAGGTTTATCTGCATGCTTGTTCTGTAACCTTTAAGCGACAATATCGCCATCGTCAAATGTCGTCGCGCAGTTATTACGTGATATGTTGCACCTGCGCAATGACGCGCAACGACTGCGTTATTATTGTTAGAAGGTTACATAGAATAGACATACTGGGAACATTCCGCGTCTCTCAAGTATCTTTCACTGTTTTTTTTTTCAAGCATATTTACACACAGTAAACGGCACGGTCAGCACGCACGGAAAAAATATCATTCTAATACTGAGAAACGCAATTGCTCAATACGCTTCTGTTACTTTAAGAATAATGGCTAAGTAAGAATATTTTCCCTCTCTTGATGATAGTCTTCAAATGTATTCGTTATAAATTTAAGAAAAGCTCATTATCATATACTCAAAAGAAAAAGGTATTCTCTTTACAAGAATATCTTGAAACTTTACCAAAGAGAAACTTGGTTTGACTTCATGCAAATAAGTAAACCGAACTTTTGTTTTAATATACTTGATTGAAATGCTAAATTCACTAAGATTCAGAGTGTATTTTGCACAAATTTGGTACTTAAAGTGAGCTTAGAATAGATAAACTTAGCAAGTTAGATTTATGAGCTTAGATATATAAACTTATAAAGTACTTTCAAACAAGTAACATTTACTCGGATGTAATATTTTTCTGTGTGCACACTGTTACCTTGTACGGCTCGCCATCGCGATTACCAGCATCGACCAGCGTTACACATCATGCATTTGCTTAGGGGTGAGCAGTTCAATATTTCGCGCGACCACGAACGTTTGTTACACAAATATCCGAATGGATCGCCGCCGGACGATTAATATAGCGAGTAAATTTTACTCGCAACATCAACGCGTGCGTTCCGGGCAAATATCGAATTATCCGAAAGTGCGGACAGATCCATATGAATTATTTTTCCTCGGACGGTGTTTGTTGTTAGCATTCCTGCCGCTACACAATCGACCTTCGTCACAATGTTTATGATTTTTCGGAAAATTGTTTGATATTTTTCGCATCGCATAGATCATATCTGTCACGAAACATAGATATCAATAATAACAGCAGAATAACTGCTTGAAAAAAAAAAGAAGAAAATTCAGTATTGATGTTGCTCCAACACAAATTTTAATCGAGTATTCGATTCGCGCTGTGAAATATTTCAGAGTATGTTCAATGTGAATTCTTTATGATTTAGGGGATATTTGAATTTTACTACCCAGTGCACGATACGCGAATCGCGAACGGATTTTAATATCGATAAAATTCTACTGTATAGAATTTAACTTGAAATTTTGTGTATCCCTTAACAATAGTTCTCATTGTTATTCACTTTTCAAGTAATTAGGAAATTAATTCTTATTACAGTTGCCGATATACATAATCTGGTAAATATGTTTACTACTATACAGGGTATCTCAGATCTCCATAATGACCCTTTGTGAGAACATAGAACGGATTGAGGTGAGCAAGAAAGTTCTGTGCTGTTTTACGATATTCGCAATAATAGTCGAGATATTAATTAAAAAAGATTGGTAAATGATCACGCGCAATATGGTAAATGAACTGCAGTGGCGTCGTCTGCCGTTATATACATATACATTAAGTCAAACTGAACAAAAAAGTCCTTTATCATTTTGTAAATGACCACATAGATTTTTAGATATTAATTAAAGAAAATTTGTACATTATGATATATCATATATGTAACAATTTTCTTTAATATTTAAAAATCTATGTGGTCATTTGCAAAATGGTAGAGGACTTTTTTGTTCAGTTTGACTTAATGTATAAGTATACAACGGTAGACGGCGTCATCTACCATATCGCGCGTGATCATTCACCATCTTTTTTAATTAATATTTCGACTATTATTGCAAATATCGCAAAACGGCAAAGGACTTTCTTGCTCACCTGAATCCATTCTACGTTCTCATAAAGGATCATCATGGAGATCTGAGACACCCTGTATATAGAGTTTATTATATTTTACTATTATATACAGTTGTATATATTCACAACTATAGTAGAGGTGTTCAATAATTGTCCTGGAACTTATTTTAATTCTCAGTAAGCAGTAAGTATGTTTACTAAGTTATTTTCTTTTATGTTTCGCTTCAATTAAACTCGAGCCACTGAGCTCTCGGGTCGCGCCAGTATTCCGTATTATTTCAAATTACTTTACAGAACGCGAATAATAAGGGGAACCGGAACATTCGTAAACACCGACCTAGGTTGCTAATAAGTGATTCATGTCGCCCGTGCGCCAATGTCGCAGATTACACGTCCAAGTGGCGCGTTAATTTTGCGTAATCTCGCGTGCACGAGGTATTAATCTATAAGCGAGAGACTTCAACGATATTATAACGATCCTGCTGCTAAGACAGCTTGACAATTTATCCTCCGTAGGAGAATGCACTCCGAAGGTCGCCGTCCCGGGGATTAAGTTGAATTGCAACGATCAATAAAGCGTTCGTGTAATGACCCAATTATTAAGTTATCGGCCGCTGAAATGTGCGAGGGAGAGAGAGAGAGAGAGAGAGAGAGAGAGAGAGAGAGAGAGAGAGAAAGGAAGAGGAAAAGAGAGAAAGAAAGAGAGACTGTATAAAACACTTTTCTGCCGTGTTTGTTATCCGTAATCCTACACTCTGTACACCCACATCCCGCACAATTAGATTGTCATATAGCGACGCGACATCTGACATTTGTAGATTGGACACGGCTATATAAAAACGATCGACCACGTTACTCGATCACATCCGTGTTCTCGTATTCGTGATTGCGTGGTAATGTCTAAATGCGGCTTGGATCAACGCTCAGAACATGTTCTCACGATGCGCAACTTCGATGACCCGAAATGCGCGGTCGAAAAATTATAGGTCTTGCCCGCGTCCATAAGAGATATACGTCTAATAATAGGTACTTGGAGCAGGCTGTTTTTAATCCGTTGACGTATTTCTCGTAAGTCAAAAATATTTAAGAGAAGGTCTATAACGACGGGTGGAGTCGCGAGTCATCGAAGGAGAATAATTTCGTCATAGCTCGATTTGTTGAAAAGAACAAAAATATCCAGAGGTAACTTCGAGCTGTATTAATAAACGTTACTGGAACTTTGTCCCACGTAAAATACTTAGAAATAGATTACTAATTTAGAAAGTTAGACTTGAGTTTCTTTATTTAAATTATATAATATATATAACACATATGCGATTTTACATTTGTAGTCGCAACTCAGCTGAAATATTCGCATCTTCTCAGCTGAAAAACTCACACTCTGTAGCAGAGGAGCAAAAAAAAACAGAAAGACAGAAGCCAATCAGAACTCGCGCTGGTGACCAAGTGGTAGTCGACAGTTTCTGCATTTTCCATCAGTGCGAGTTTTGATTGGTTTCTGCTTTTCTGTTTTCTGCTTCTCCGCCAAGGTGTAAATTTTCCCAAACTCTAAACTCAAATCTGAGTATTCCATCTAAAGCAAGTTTCAAGTAACGATTATCAGTATAAGTCTTTATGTATTACACACCTGTAGTAGTTCGGATACTCAATTCTTTACAGATTTACATGCCTTTGAAAAGTTCATCAATATATTTATATTGACCATCTTTGAAACGTTTTTGTCGATTTATTTCGTGAATGTTGCTTCGTTCATTGTGAGGAACATTCGCGCACATGTAAAGAGGTGGGCTGCGCGTACAGAACTGACCGTTCTCCCTCTCTTCCCCCTCACCTCTCTCTCTCTCTTTCTCTCTCCCCTCTCCCTCTCTCTCTCTCTCTCTCTCTCTCTCTCTCTCTCTCTCTCTCTCTCTCTCTCTCTTCTAAAAGACGCCCGCACGGTCTTCGAAATTCTGCATGTAGTAAAGTGAAGAACCGAAGGTTTTCTTAGGACCTTGCCGAGTCAGCACTTCTAACACAATATGACTTTGCGTTGTTTCGCCGTACTACGAGAGTAAAAAGCGATTGGATCCGGGACGTGAGAGGAGTACCTATGAACGAAGACGAAGCTGCGAAATTGCCACGAGTATAGAGGATCGGGGGATGTCCCGGAATGTTTCATAAACATCTTTCGTACGATGTTACGCCGTGAGAGACGCGCGAGAACGGACGAAAATATATTTTGAATCCGAAAACGAAGCGGTCGAGCAGTAAAAGCGCGCCGTCATATCTTCGCTCCCCGTGCGATAAACCGATCGTATGGTTTCTTTTGGCGAGTTCTGAAACAATCAATCATGT